TACTGCTGAATCTGACCCGGAATGCCTCTGATGCCTGTAACAGCTTTTCACACCTTATTTGTCGCCAAGAGCTTGAAGCAAAACAGATGTATAAACACAAACACTGTTTCGTTTTAAAATGGAATTTTAACATGTTCTTGGAACAGATAACACTCGTTTGGCATTTCAGGCATACGTAAGAGGCTTCTGCCTTTTCAGTTCCACTGGGATATATTTTTTTTTTTTTTTTTTTTTTTTAAGGGGTTGAAAAATTCTTGAAAGGAGCTCTCTGGAATTTAAATATGTTGTAACTTGCAGGGAATAGTAAACATGACAGCCATTTAGTAGAAGGGAGTTCTTTGTTTATTCCTCAACTACTTTGCTTCACTCCAGCATGATAGCTTGAACATTGGTAAAGGTTAAGTTCCTGTTAGTGTGCTGTGCTATGGGCACGAGCAGTTGAGGTGCAGGTATCTGCTGACTTGGCTTGAGGGGCTGCAGCTTCTGGCAGAGATGTGGTAACAAATAGCTAGGTGTGGCACCTTGTGCTACTTAAACTGTTTTTGTTTGGTTTTTTTGTTTTTTTGTTTTTTTTTTTCAGTGAGCATGTCCAAGCCCTCTGTTTTCCAGAGTTGTTAAATATGTTGCTTACTGATAGTGAACTTTAAAACGTAACAATCGGCTGTATTTCCTGCTCATGCTTTAGGAGATGTGCAAGCTTATGAAAGAACAGTAAATTTAGAGGCCTGGAACTCAGCTTAATTCTGAGTTACTGGTTTAGAGAGTGTAGTGCTTCTTGATGCTGCCTTTAAAGGGGTAACTGGTCTAAATAGGTACTGTGTAATTTTGATATCCTATGTGATGGACTGTAATGAAGAGCAGTTTACTACAAAGTTGATTTTTCTAGTTCAGAAACACTTAAGAGATGGAAGACAGTGTAGGCAGCATAAAATGCCATAGAAGGTTCACATCAATCTGTGGTTTTGTTTGTGTGTAAGAAGTGCTAATGGTACAGCTAATGTTGAAGGCATTATTTTAATCTATTTGATCAGAAATTGCCTTTTAAAAGGATGAACTAGCTAGTTTTTCTAAAGCAGTGCTTTAAAAGTTTTTCACAGCCTTAAAGTAGATAGTTTTGCTTTCACAACTGTAAATATTTTATGAGCTCAAGAAATTCTTCTGTGGGAAGGTATTTTTCAGATCTATGAAAATATTTAAAAATACATGGTAATAGGTGATAATTCTCTATAAATTACTTCAGGTTTATTAATATTGGAGGTAGCTTAATAAATAGCTTACCATGAAAAACATTTCTGATTTGTAATGAAAGATGGCATAGAGGTCACTACAGTTATTCATTGTGAATAAATCTTTTGTATCCAAAAGGAAAATACTGTATTTGTGTCAAAATACAAACAGTTATTCTGGAGATCTAGCTGCATGCTTTTATACACTTAGTTATTCTTGATACTGATATTTGATAACTATAATTATGCTTATGGTAAGTGAATGTGCTGTCTTTAGTGAGGTAGGGTCTCATGCTAAGAAAGTGGACAGAGAGAAATGTCATGCTTTATGGCTTCAGAAAAATTTTCACCTAAAGCTACTCTTACCTTCCTTCTGCTGAGGCTTTAAATTGTTGTCATATCTTTAGATGATAGAACTTAGTAATGTAAAAACGTGTCATTTATTTCTCTTTTAGAGTGAAAAGCTTCTGTTGTATGATACTGTACAAAGTGAACTAGAAGAGAAGATTAGAAGACTTGAAGAAGACAGGCATAGCATTGACATTACCTCAGGTGGATGGAAATTCAAAGTTGTTGGGGTGGTTTTTTTGTTTGCTTCTTTGGTGTCACTTTTTTTTTTTCCCCCTTAATCTTCTGGTAGTTCAGGTTATCCAGTAGGATGCTATTCTGCTGTTAACTTTGGGTGGAGGTTGAAGTTAAGCTTAAACCAAACTTTGATCTAGTAATTGTCAGCTTTCCTTGTGTGTTTTGAGAGTATTAATGTATGACTATGTAATTATGTAACACTTTCATTTTGTTCAGAAACAGCATCTCACCAGAAAATGTTATTTGTCATTTTTTGACAGTTTCTCTGCTGTTAAAAGAACTAAACTTGTAAATGCTTCTGATTCATAGCGTGTTCTTATGTCTTTTCAGAATTATGGAATGATGAGCTACAGTCCAGGAAGAAAAGGAAGGATCCATTTAGTCCAGATAAGAAGAAACCTGTTGTTGTATCAGATATCCTTTTACTGAAATAGTTGTTCTTTCTAGTAGTATTTACTCATTTATAGCTGATCTTACTATATATGTCATAAATAACAAGTTGAAGTGATAATGCATTCTCAAAATTGATTTTTGCACATCAGCTGTTTTTCAGGTTAGAGAATTCATGTTGACACATCCTATTACAAAAATTGAAATTAAAATCCTCTTTTCCTAACTACTAGTTTCACATAGAGAATATTTATAAAAGTTGATTTTTCTAATTCTTAAAAAAATAGAGCTGCAAGGCAAAATCATAAAAAAATTAGGCATTACGTTTGCAAAGTATAACTTATGTAAGTTCTCCCGACTTGTGTAACTTTGCTTCTCATAGTGGCATATCTTTGTGTCAATTTATTACTTCTTAACAATTCCATAGACTTCAGAACCTCTTTAATCAATAGTTTAAAATTCCAAGAATTGAGATGGTTAGAGGGATTATTTTGGGGTTTGAAGTTCCTGTAGAGAGAGTATAGTATTTAAGAATTGTGCATTGATGACTTCATAGCTCTTGACAAGCAAACCTTTCAAGGTATAACAACTAAGAGGCAGTATCATCTTTCTCCACAGAAAGAAAGAGATGCCTTTGCAAACTGAGTATTCTTTCTACTCGTACCCCCAGCCCAACATTTTTATAGGGTAAAAATGTGATGGCTTGGAAGTTGCCACAATCATAGAGACTACCTAAAAAAGACCAGGCTGGATGGGGCTTTGAGCAACCCAGTCTAGTGGAAGGTGTCCCTCCCTGCCCATGGCAGGGGGGTTGGAACTAGATGGTCTTAAGGTCCTTTCCAACCCAAATCATTCTGTGGTTCTAAGTATACATTAAGTATACGCCTAAGTATACTACATTATATAGTATAAAGGCCATTTTTTATTGCTAACCTGCTGCAAAAAATCCTGCTACTTTTACAAGCTTTCATAATAGGAGAAGGTGGGAAGGAAGAAATTTCTGGAAAAAAAACCCCTCCTTGAGCATGTTCAATTTACTGGAACATATACCAGATGGATAATTTGTCCTAATGGTGGCAGTTCTTCCATTAGGATGCATCATAAATTCAGTTTAGTAGAGGTGGTTTTTAGGTAGTGCTTAAAAGCCAGGTGGTATTAATCAATGTACCTGCAAGTGGCTTCTTTAGTTTCTTAACTCCTTTTAGCAACTTGAATGCCAGGTTGTGTGAAAGTAATATTTTCTTTAGCTCTCAGCCATCCTTGTCTTTGGGTTGTCCATACAAATAGCATTCAGATTCTGTGGATTATGAGCTACCTTGCTATTCTAGAATACATTCCAATTAGAAAATTCTAACATAGTATTAGGTCTAAAACCCCAGCAATTTCAGGCAATTCATAAAGTTGAAAATCCTTTCAGTTGTGAAGTAAATTAATTTTCTCTTTTTGCTTATGATTTTAGAATAGTTTTGAACTTGTCACTTTCTGCAGATCTATCTATAGTCCTAGGAATTTTGTGTGTATTTTAATTCATACTACTTTGCTGTTTAGAGGGAAACAAATTTGAAAATGGCTAAAGATCCTTAAAATTTCAAATGGAATGTGAGTTAAAGCTCTCTTATCCCATTTTAGGAGATTTAGTTTTTAAACATTTCTAACACCCTTTTCTAAACTTGTTTTTGAGAGATGAAATGGGGAGAAGTGAAGAAAAAACTTAAGACTGTTGTAGTGGAATAGCGGTGCTATATGGAGTTTTGTTTTGAAGTTCATGTATTGTTCTAATATACAATTTTTACAGTTGATAGTTCAAGGAATGGACTTTGCCTTCTACTTCCTGGGTTGTTTGTTTGTTTGTTTTTTTAATATTGATATTGAGAGATGTGGTGCTGTCTGTGCTTTTCTCAAAGAAATACAATGCAGAGTACTGTAAAAATAATAATTTTATTAAAGCTGATACTAGTATGGATGGTGATTTTCAGTAGTCCATTTAAATTGCAGGAAATTTCAACTCTAATTTGTAGTATTGCAAATGGAATGATTTTTGGAACTGTTAGGGATGGAATGGTTTTATCACAATTGTTATTTTATCTTCTTGTTGAACTCCAGTAGTCTGAATATCTACTTACTATTAATTATCTCAGTTTTTAAAGTGTACTTCCAGGTTGTGTAATTCAAAGATGCATTTATTTTTGCTTCACGTAGGTACTCTTTGCTTGAAAGATTGGCAGAACAGAGCTATTACTGTCTTTTGACAAACATTAGAGTATTTTAATTATTGCTGTTTAAAAGAGTTTTCCCTAACTTCTCTACGCCCCTATATAGTTTATATGCTGCAAGACCTTGATATACTTGAAGACTGGACAACAATAAGGAAGGTGAGATTAAAGGATGAATGCCAGTGGCTGTGGGTTTTGTTTGAGTTCTCCAGTACTTTTGCCTCTTAAAAGTATGTAAATGTATTTCTTACATGATCAAAATGCTAAGTAGATTTTTATTTCTTCAGTAGTCAGCTAATCATTCCAGTTCATGCTATGTTATTGCCACTTTTTCTGATTCTACCCCAGCTCATAAAGAGGAATTCAATAAAGTGGTTAAAAAGGTTATCTCAAAAATGGGTAGTCCATAATTTTCCATGATAAAGTGAGCCTAAAGCTGGTGTCAAGAGGATCTCCTTTCTCATAGTCTAGCATAATTGGGTAGAAACTATGATAGGATTTTGGTCTAAATTAAGGGGTTTTTTTTTAAATATATGGTATGTTTTCACATAGTAAATAGTTGATTTTTTTGAAGATTTCTATGCTTCGACCTCTCCTTATACTTTTTTTTTTTTTTAAATATGTAAAGTGAAATGCTGTCTTTTTCCCAGATTATAGGAGAATCAAAGTTTACCGGAAAAGAAATTTGTTTGGACAGTTGATGTATTTAAAAAAATAAATCTAGCTTTTAAGTGCAGAGTACCTTTTTCAGATCTTTGATCATTAAAGTAACTTGCTGTAGTGAAACGCTACCCTTGCCTTGCACCAGCAGTCAGAAAATTTCCCCTAGTACCCTGGTGCTTCCCAGTTTATGGAATAACAAACTACTTAATGCACATTCAATAACTTGGTGGGAAACAGCTTTAAGTCAGTTTCCCTCTTGCTTTCTACTTCTACGTAAAATGTGATGCCTATGTGAAGAGGTGACTAGCTTTTCTCTTCATATCATGTCAGAGGAACAGACAGAAACCAGCTTTCCCTCAGCTTCTTTCCTGTAGTGTAACATGCTTTTAAACAGTAGCTAACCCCAGAATTTATTGGGGATTTTGCCTTTCCTGGAAATAATTTCAAACCAACCAATAAAAAGCTAACAACCCCAAAAACTCTTGAAGGGTTTTTTTAAGCCTATGTGTGATCTAGAGTTTGCATGCGAGAAAATTCGTGAGTTTGTATAACATATAAATCAGAAGAACAGGTTGTTCATACAGCATTTTGTTTTTCAGAACGAGTTAGTGTCATTTTGTATTTTCTTGACAGAATTAAATAACAGAAGTTGAGGGTTTAATTTATAAAATGTCTTGAGTGACTTGAAATCAAAGCTTACTAAAGAAGGTGATTCTTTTTCACCCTCAAAATTCTGTTTTATTTAGTTACTGAGTCACCATTGGACACACTTCTATTTTAGATTTGTTCCAGTTGTGGTTTTTGCACGTAAAAGCAAGGATCCTGAGCTACACCGCACGTAACTTCACAGTCAGAACTGGTTATTTTGGAAAAAAAGAATACACTTGCTGACTTACTTAATTTTCTTTTGTGTTTCAAGGCAATGGCTACGCTGGGGCCACACAGAGTAAAGCCAGAACGTAAGTAAACATTGGTTTCACAAGACAGTACTTGCTGTGTGTAATGGTGTAAACTGCATCTAGGCAGATTATACTTATTTTAGCCCTGGTGTAGTGATGGAGGATGGGGTGAAGTAGCTGGAAGATTGCGTTTTTGTCTTTCCCCTCTCTTGGGTGCTGATGCTTGTAGCTTGATTGCTGATGATTGTGTTGACACCTGAATTCTCGAAAATTAGCAACAAAAATTTAGGCTTCTACAAGTGGGTTATACCAATTAACTTCAGCAAGCTGCACCAGTGTTTGCACAAGATGAGGCAGGAAACTGAGAGCACCTGGACCTTAGGAATGCATTCTGAAGGATGTTCACATTCTCTGCAAGCTACAACCCTGAATAAGTACAGCTATTGGAAAGGAGTTGAGGAGCACATTAATGCTAGGTAAAATCAAATACTTGGAGGTGGTGAATAAACAGGAAAAGGGAGAGGAAGCAAACAGATGGTGTATTTCTTTAGTGGTGCATTACTACTTGCATGACGTAATAATGCGCTGATGAAGAGGTTTCAGGTTCTGCCATTTGAAGTCATCTTTATATTGCATTACTGGATTTGTGAAAATTCATATCATAGATCTGAAGGTTGTAGGGAAGATAGCTTCTATTTGAAAATGGAAGCATAATTTATCTGACTGGAAATTGAAAAGTATCTTGCTTCAAATTTTCATGCGTTCTTGCAGTTACTTTTGATCATGGAAAATATGTATTCTATATAAATAACTTGATGAAAGTATATTTAAACAACTAACTGACTTCTGCCAAGTCAATGTTAAATGACTTTTACTGATCATTTTAGCACCTGTCAAATTAGAAAAGCACCTACACAGTGCTAGGTCTGAAGAAGGAAGACTCTATTATGATGGAGAGTGGTATGGACGTGGACAGACGATATGCATTGATAAGAAAGATGAATGTCCTACAAGGTAAAGATTACTCAGATTATGCAGCTCTGTACATTCATGTTAAGCAGTAGATAGGACGATGCATTGAAGAATAAGGCTAATTTGGAAGTATTGCCACCTCAGTAATATCTATTAGTTCACCTTGGAAGACAAGTATTATCAAAGAAGGTTGTGCGCTGGACTTCTGAGAGGCTAGTAAGGGTTGGAATTAACTGAAGGTCATGAGATGTTTGTTACATTAGGATCTCACTAACAATTTAAGATTCTGGTTTCTGAATAGCCTTTGAATAAGTTTTTTTGAGTATCTTGGGATTTTGTTCCTTTGAAAATTTAATCTGTTGGCACACTCAAAATACTTGATTATAGAAAAACACTTTATACCATTAAAGATAAGGTTTGTTTTCATTTGGTTAATGGTCTAAAAGAAATGAGTTGGAACTTTTAAAATGACAATTCCTTTTCTTAATAAAGATTCTACCAGGGAACAATCTACATATTACAGTGCAAATTTGGTTGAATGTTTTGGATATCTAAATGTATTTTCTCTGTATGGATAATATTTGTAAATTCTAAAAAGTGGGTCTATTTTAAGCAATATTTAATACTAAATTTATATTTTACCTTTTACTGAGTGGGGCAAGTGAATCTAAGCACGGTGTTGATTAAATATGTACAGCTACCTAGGAAAATTAACTTCATATAGCAATAGTTAACTGTAAAACTAGCTGTTTCTTTTTCTTCCCTGTGTATGGTTAAGGGGAATGGATTTTCGTGATATTGTTGTTCGTTCAGGGTTGAAATAGGAAGGTATCTTAGTAAACTATATATTCTTTTTGAAATGAAAAAAATCTGAATTGGTTTAGCAGAACATAGGAATTACACTGGGCCAAAGAAAGATCTCAGTATCCAGTGTCTGACAAAAGCCAAAACCTGACATTTAACAGGGCAGGCATACAGTGGAACTTTCCTCACCTTTCCAAGATTTCAGCAACTTTTAGGGCTGAATTGTTTCCTAGAGGGAGTTTTGTAACTCTCATTATTTGATTGACCTCTCTTCCATTAAGTGTTTTAAACTCTGGTTTTGAGCCTTTCTTTGTCATCAATTCTACCTGATTTTTTTTTTTTTTTTAAATTTTTTTTTTTATTTCCTAGGCGGTATGGGGAGGGGTTTGTGTTTACTGTTTGTATTAAGGTTTACCACAAGGGGCATAAAAGCAGGGTTCATGTAAGAATGATTCAGTAAATCAGGTTTTGACTTCATTTCTCTTGATATAATGACTAACAGTTGAATGCTTTTTCTGCTTTAAATCTTAAGCTTCAATCTGTTCAACTTTTTTTCTGAATACTTTCTATTCAGTGTAATTTCTGGGTGTGTTTTCCAACAGATCTGGATTTTACCATGGGTTGTCTATTGAGTTTTTTATGGGTGACTTGTTCTTTTAAAATATTTGTACGTGTTAAGGGTTTAAAGAGGGCTGAAAAATTAACTACCATCACTAAAGACACATGCAGTTACCAAAGAATTCTGTTAAAACTATCCTTACAATGAAGCCAATATATTTTTGGTCTAGCATTTATAAGTAATGCATATTTTCATTTACTGTATGGAAACACAGCTGCAGTTTTGAGGTTATTTATCAGCTTATAAGTTTTCTAAATTCTTCTTGTTTTTCTTCCCCTGACCCTTCTTCCCTCATTTTCTGTAGTGCCATAATTACAACAATTAACCATGATGAAGTCTGGTTTAAAAGACCGGATGGAAGCAAGTCCAAGCTGTATATTTCTCAGCTACAGAAAGGAAAATACTCAATAAAGCATAACCACAACTGACCGTTGGTAACCTATGAAACAAGTGGTATTGCCATGCTTGATGTGCCATGGGGTGAAAGTTGTATTTAACAGTGTTTTGTATTCCTTATAAATTTACAGCAGTATCTGGTGTGTATTTGTAGTGCTGTATGTAAACTTCATATGGACAGGCTTCAGAAACCTGAGGATCATGTCGACAAACATTTTACCTCTAAATTAGGTCCAGTGCCTAAAATAGGAAGTATGCTCTTCAAGTATAATGGCTCAGAACTTCTCATCTTTATAAAATGAAAAAATAAAGATTAAAAAAAAAAAAATTATTTTTTTTCCCATTGGTGACCAGTTGGTGTGATAAAAATGATAACTGTAATAACCAGCAACTCACTTTGTTTTCAGTGAACATGTCACGCTTCTCTTGTGGATGTAAATTTAGCCTGTTCAGCTGTTGCTTTTGAATAGATGGTAACATGAATAAGCATTCTTTTATCCAAAGCGATCTGATTTATTAAAATTATTGCCCTCCATAGCTTTGCTAGTACTGACTGTGTTATATTTTGTAAGGTTTACTGTATTGCTTGTAATGGGACAAAGCCAATATTTGGAGCTACATTTTTTCAGGAGCACTGTAGTAAACAAATTGTTGGTAATTTTTTTTTTCCTTTCCCAGATTTCCAGCAAAATTTATGCGTGAAGTAGAAAGTGGTGCTCCAAACCTGTATTATATGTAGCCCACAAAGAATGACATGTAAATACTGTTGCATGCTCTGCTTGTTTGGTCCACAGTTGTATGAAATACTATGAGTTGACTTTTTTTTTTTTTGGGTGGTTTTTTTTTTTGTTTTTGTTTTTGTTTTTTTTTTTGGAAGGAAAGTATTTCCCCAGAAATTATATGTGTGGGAAAATTTACACTGACTTTTCCACCAAACACCATTTTCCAAATTGCTGTACCCTACTTCATCTTATTGTACACCAGAATTATTTTATGCAGCTTAGAAAGCTGAATTTCTCTTAAATCTTACTGTTTAAGCCACTGAGAAAAGTCATAAATCCTTGATGTTTCTGTGATGTGCTTGGAGCATCTAGATTGACAGAAGGGATTGCTGAAGAATTATTAACGCTTTGGTTATGTGCACTTTAATCTCCATTTATGATGATTTTACTTGGAGAAAGAAAGCATCCATTTGCTTTAAATGATCACAGCAAATAAGTATTTTTATTGTAACATATAAATGTTTTATTCCTATATTAATTATCTCTTCTAGGGCAGGGTGGTAACTACTTTCCAAATGCCAAATCAGTTTTTGCTGAGTGATACTTTTCTACAGTTGTATGACATTATTAATCAAATGTACATAAAGTATCAATTGACATGTTGGCTTTTAACAATATGAACTGTATGTATACAGTTGTTTGATAAACTTTTTGTAATAAAATATTTGTATTTTTTAACTTAGTATATAAATAAATGATCTGTGGTAGTGGACATCTTACGTTGGTTTGCTCTTTGGTTTTCTAGTCTTGTTGGAATTGTTGATACACCAAGTGCTAAAGGGAAATATATTTACACTTTCAGAAGGCCTAAATCTTTTTTAAGACCTTTGACTTGCACTTCTTTTCTTTTGAATTTTGAGAGTTTGGATGTATAGATTTTGTTTGTTTTATATATTTTTTTTTTCTGTATTATTTTATGGAAGCACTGTTAAAAACCTCATGGCTATTGATGTGCTCGAAATCATATGTTTCCACGGTTAACCCCTTTCCTCTTTCCTGTATTCTGCACCTCTCTAGCTGCAATTGGTTATTTCTGAAGCTGTTTCTAATCTTGTCTCCTTTGGTGCAGAACTTTGCTTTGTACAGCCCTGTAGTTTGGACTGACGTTCGGTGTATGCCGCTTCTTTATTCAGAAAAAATATAATACGTATCAACATGAAAGGTAATAAGCACAGCAGTATGGTTTAGTGAGGAAACAACAGGGATCTACCTGTTCCGTTACCAGAAGTCCAAGAAACTGAGCTATGGCTTTCTTTTTTACATGTAATCACTTCTGTGTGTGCAATGGGAAAGGTGAGTTTGGTCTTTTTCTTTTTTGTTTTTTTTTTCTTATAATTGGTTAATTGTTTCATGCCTAGAAAAATCATACTTGGTACTTGCTCTGTATCATTTCAGTATTTGAACAGTTAATGGTTCACTTCCTACATCATAAAATATAAGAGATGGCTTTCACAGATTTTAGTCCTTTGAAGTACAGATATTAGCCTGTTGTCCATTGTTTTATCTTTTACACTTCTCTGTTAAAGCTTTCCAAGCCTTGGTGTCATTTTCACCTACAAGTAGGATTAAGATCTGAAAGGAAGAAGATACTGGGCATACTGTTTATTCCTTGAGATATGATATGTGAAAAGGGAAGTAAATGAAGAGTGATGGGCGCCAAGTGACAAAAAATAACTTTCTGTACATGTATAGAAAAGGCTTCTGTATCAGTAGTTATGTTTCAGAGGAGATGCAGTTTGTGGTTTTTTGCAAATCACACAGTGCAAGCTGATCTATTCCTCTTTCCCATAATGAGGTATCTGGTATGTTTCATTGAAATGCAATTAATTTAACCCCCAGCACTTGATGCATAAATACCACGTGGAATTTAGCATAGGTATCTTGTAGCAAGCAGCTCTTTAAAGTTTCCAAATGCACTTTGATTTTGGCATTCTGTCACACTGTGTTTGTATTAAAACTATGGCTATTTATAGTCCATGGAACATCTTGTTTTATATCTGTAAGCCAAGGCCTGCATAACTAGCTCACCACCTCCATCAAGTGGCAAGTGATGATTAAGTACTAAAATTTTCACTTGTTTTGAAAACCTATGCTGTCTGCCACAAGCAGGTTCAGGGAAGAGCTGCTTTTTTGTTTTATTTTGTTTTGTTGTGTTTTTTTTTTTTTTTTGAGTTTTTTTGTTTTGTTTTGTTTTTTGGTTTTGTTATTGTTTTTCCTCCTGTTTTGAGGACAAGGGGGAGATGTATGAAGCAAACAAAGTGTTCAGTAGGTATCACATTTAAATAACTAAAATATTGAGGGCTTCTATGCATGTCAGGTTTGTTGGAGCATTTTCCTTGTGGTAGCTAAATGGAACATGCTTTCTTCTGTTGCTGCACAATAGCAGTAGTAAAAGGGTGTTTGCTGTCCAAACACCCTTTCAAAAGTGTTGAAGTAAGCTCTGTTCCAAGGCACATGATTGTTCCTAAGGGAGTTCTTTACAAGTCTTTTCTTGGATAGGGGCATGGTTATGTTGGAATTAAGACCAAGAAGCCTTGGTATTTCACTTCCAGTACCTAAGGTACTGCAGAGGTCTGACAGCCAGGATGTTCTGGGTGATGTGTACTTCCAGGTAGCACCGTCAATAACCGCCTGGTGTCTGGAAGCGCTTTAGTGTTTCTGCGAGGTATGTGTAGGTCAGCTACTCAGTACATCTGCAGTAAATCAGCATGGGATTTGCAGTCTACTATTTAATCAAAAGCACAGCACGTATTTAGTAAGCCTGATATTTCCTGGAAATGCCAGCCTACCTGTAGTTGCATAGCATTGTGTATGCTTTTATTTCTCTGTATGGAAAATCTGGTCTTGGTGGAACGGATGTGACTTCTGACATTTAAGACTCCTTTCTGTTTTTTCTGGAACTGCCAGGCTGGAAAAGTGAAAAATGATGTGCTCAGCTGATTCCTGTCTCGGGAATCTGCCCTGGCTCCTGTAGACCTCATTTGTTGAATTCTAGCTTTCCCAGACTTTGTAAGATGAGTTTGAGTGATGAAACTGAGCTGGGAGATTCGCTAACAGGCAAAGGAGCTGAGGTAAGGTGTTGAATGCAATGTTGAAAAGAAGAAATTCCTATTCCAGAATAAAGGTTGCAGAGGTGAATGGAATAAATGATAAAATATGTGTCAAACACCAGTGTTTTGTTGGAGTTTTTTTAATGGTAAGATGAGTAATATGGCCCTGGTTACCCTTGGCACTGACAGAGGCAGTTTCTAATCGGAAAAAATAGTGTATGATTTTGTAAATAAGGATTGTTTCACATGGCAATGGGTTCAAAAAAGGGTGTTGCAGGTAAACTTCGTATTTGGTATTTCCAAGCTTTGAAAGTGTCAATATTACTCTTTTGGTATGATTTGTGTATGAAAGAATATAAATGTATAGGACTTGAGCCATTTAGTAATGCAGTAATCTCAAAATTCTCCCTAAAACAGTGGTTTTTTAGATGTTTTAACTACATACATAGTTTTTACTGCAGGATCTGAGTTGCTAGATTTTTTGAACATCTGGGTTATATTTTTGAAGATAGTGATTTCTTTAAACCACAATAAAATACAGAAAGCACCCAGTGTTTAAAAGGTGGTTAGCAGCAGTAGGTTGTGTAATCTTTTTTTAGTGTATCAGTTCAGCAGAAAGATGTTCAGATATCACCAAGTGTCTCTGAATAGAAGCAAGCTGCAATAGGGCAACAAATGAAAACAAGCTCCATTATTTCTTTGAACAGGCCGACATTACCGGATCCTCCTTTTCCTATAAGCAAAATAAATTTGAATCCGCTAGCAGGAATAGGATGTTAAATCTGCCTTCATTCCACGGATGTGGTCTGTGGTGGGGGTACCCTTGCTCCTGTGCCCTGGAGACCCATGTTGCTGAAAGCCTGCAGGTGGCACTCAGTTTATGCTGAAGTTACTTAATTGTAGTTTTAGAATTTTGTCTAGATCCTGTTAGGTTGGTTGTTTGTGGGTTTTGTTTTTTTTACTTGGTTTCTTTTAGTTGTAGCATGACTACAACTGGTTTTAATCCTAATGCATACTAATTAAAGGGTATTTGGAAAGAACAGATAGTACTCAGAGTTCTAAAGAAGGATTATCTTTTGCTACTGTATTGTGAAAGAAAATTGCTATGTAAAGGCTTAGGAAGAAACGGAAATGGATTAGATGCTTTCTAGTTGCTATAGAAACAAAATGTGTAATTAATCAAAATGAAATATACTCTTACAGTGATGAAAGTACTTAGTAAAGGTTGGACAATGAATGTTTTATATTGCAACACCAAACTGAGAAATAAGTGGAGTGTTCAGGTTTATTTTTCTAATGCAGTGTTCCCCTACTGCATTTTTTTTGTGCTTGGTTAACCAAACCCAAAAATGTTTGTTCCCTAAGGTGAAAAAAAAGGGATGTCGATAATAACTAATACAGTGAGGATTTGCATTAATACCACCACAAATTAATAACATTAATATGTCATACTAATGATATGATGAAATCTTATGAATGAAATCTTAAGTACATGCTTTTGGGGGAAAAAACCCACCCACATTATTTTATTAGTATGAACTGTTTAATTACACTTTAAAATAACTTTTAACAGATCACGTCAATTTTTCTTATTCTATACAAGTATATTAGCAGTTTCATACCCTTGCTTTATAGCTAATAAAGACAATTTCATAACAAAAAATGTGTTGAG